CGGAAGGCCTGGAGAGGGGTGAGGGTCCGAATCTCTGCGGGGAGTTCATTCCAAGGGCCGGAGCTGCTACAGAGACGGCCCTCCCCCGGGTAGTAGCCAGATGGCATTGGCTGGTAGACAGAACCCGGAGGAGGCCGACCCTGTGCGATCTAACGCGAAAACCAACGTCATGGCAAGAGCTAAAATAATTTATTTACTGAATAAGACTATTCGGGTGGAGTGGTACAGCCAACAGGACAGTCCATGCCTCTTTTTAAGACTTGTTCTGACCATTTCCACACATAATTAACAGAGGAACAGCTGTCAAAATGCACTCTCAGCAAACAACCTAAATATAGGAAATGGTTAATATTTTTCTGCCCTCCAAGTGAACCTGTCCTATTATCACATTTCTCTTCAAAGCAATAGCTTGAGGCTTCAAACTGCAGCTTCTTACTCAGCCCTCCAAGAGTTACACCCAAGAAAAGCCCAACTGTTCGGTCAAATTTTCATTGTGGCAGCTCAAGATCAACAAATCAAGACTGTTGAATTGAAATAATCATGCCTTCCCCCCACCCCCCGAAAAGTGATTACATCTCCTTAGTTACGGAAATCACACTCTCCTCAAGCAGTGAAAGTGAACTGAAAAAGAAAACCCTAAAAAGGATGTCTAAATATACTTTATTGGATCTGGTGGAAACCCCCCCCACCCCCAAACAACAACAATAGTTTCTGGATTGTCATCAGAGTTGTGGGAAAACGCAGAATGAAAGTTTAAAGCCGCTGAAAGTTTTTAAATGGAGCTACACTAATCCCGGATCTTTCCACACCAACCAATTGCTATATTTCAGCCTAGAGACGGAGTGAAGCCCAAGAGCTGTTCGATGGGTTTGTATCTCCATTCATCTGCCTCCAGTTCTTCCACTAAGCCGGCGAGTTTTTCCATTCGAGCGACTTGCTGATCTGTATCAGAAAATTAAAAAATGGGTTTGCAATCAACTTTTGGTTAAGCCTTTTAACTGGACTATAAGCCCCACATCGCGTCTTAAAGCAGAAAAAAAAAAATCTTTTATCGCAAGTAAATTAACTAGTTAGAACCCACACAATTTGTTTTCATTCTACGATTCACAAGACACTATCCACCCACAAGACAGGGTAAAAATATAAAAAAATAAACAAATTCTGTTCAAAGAATCCTCACGTTTATTTTTCAGTTGCCGGAAAACAAATGTATTATTTCTACTGCTCCAGTTCTAAATCCTACAAAAGCTCTTTTCGATCCGACTTTATTCCAGCTATCCTGCTGTTTCTCATAGAATCTGTTAGCCAATGAAAATACTTCAGATAATCCCTACATAAATAGATGTTGGGAAATATCTTTCAAGCTATGAATAAGGCCAAAATATCTGTTCTCTAGAACAACTATATTGTATGTGAGCAAAAAAGAAGAAGCTATATTTTAAGTTAAATATCAAACACTTCCACATATGTTATTATTCTGCCATGTGCTACAGCTGGTAGATTACAAGGAAGCTAAAACAAAGTGGTTGTGTTACACTGAGATTGTTCATGCCTTTATCTGTCAGATGCTTTTCCTTTTGTCCAAATTCTCAAACATGTAGATACACTAATAGTTCAAGAAAAGCCGCAAGTAAAACAATAAGAAACGTCAGCGTTAGAGCAGTTGACAAGGAACGATGACAGAATAATTGAAAGGGTTGGGCAAAAGACATGTTTTAAATGGTTGGTGGCATACAGATAGTCCTCAGGTTATGACCAGAATTGAGCCCAACATTTATGTTGCTAAGACCTTTCTTGCCACAGTTGTTAAATGCATCACTGAAGCTGTTAAGTTAGTAACAGCTTCAGTTATTAAGTAAATCTGCCTTCCCCACTGTCTTTGCTTGTCAGAAGGCCGCAAAAGCTGATCACATGACTCCAGGACACTTCAACTGTCATAAATATGAACCAATTTCCTAGCATCTGAATTTTGATCATGGGGATAATGCAACAGTTGTAAGTATGAAAAAATGGGCATTAGTCACTTTTTCAGAGGCGTTGTAACTTTGAATGGTCACTAAATGAATAGTTTTAAGTCGAGGGCTACCTGTGTTCAATTGCAATGGGGTCATAGTTCCTCATTGACATAGACCAGTGTTTCTCAACCTTGGCAACTTGAAGATGTCTGGACTTCAACTCCCAGAATTCCCCAGCCAGCNCCTCAACAACAATCCGGGTCCTCATTTTACCCACCTCGGAAGGATGGAAGGCTGAGTCAACCCTGAGCCGGTGAGATTTGAACAGCCGAACTGCAGTCAGCTGAAGTAGCCTGCAGTGCTGCATTTAACCACTGCGCCACCTTGGCTCATCTTCCAACTGGGATGCCAGGGAAAAGAAGTCAGAACTACCATTGGCTATTAAAAAAAAAACACCTCTTGCTGCTTAAAAAAAGGCAATGTAAACAAGGAACAGAAATCACAGGCTCTCATATAATGTTTTTACCAAGTTCGGGAACAGGAAAAACTGGAGGTGTGTCGTGAGCAGACGAACGAACAACAGGAGGAACATCTTGTGTAGCAGGTGGGAGAGGGGAGGCAGGACTCTCCACCCGGTTTCTCTCTTGAAGGAAAGGGCTCCGTAACTTGCCTAGGAAAGGAGCCAAGTCAGTCCAGAACACAAAGGGCCCGTGTCTCTTATACAGCAAGGAGTCCTTGGCTCAGCGGCTCAGCTACTGCCAAGTTCTATCCATTTTTTTCAGAAGGATAACAGTGTTTGTTATTTGTGCACGGAACTACAGGAAACCCACAACTTAACATTAGTTTAGTGCAGGGGTGTCAAACTCGATTTCATTGAGGGCCGCATCAGGGTTGTGTTTGACCTTGGAGGTGCGTGTGCTTGGGGGCGGGGGGCGTGGCCAGCTTGACATCACTCCTGTCAGGGGCGCCTGAGGTGGCCTTTGCACTCTGCCAGCGAAAATAGGCTCCAGAGCTCCGTTTTCGGCTGCCACAGCTTCCCTCCAACCCTCTGGCAGTGAAAATGGAGGTCGAGAGGGCCGCACATACCCCTCCAGAGTTCCATTTTCACTGGCAGAGGGTTGCAAGAGGCCGTGGCAGCCAAAAATGGAGCTCTGGAGCCTATTTTCGCTGGGGCCTGTTTTTTTCTGGCAGAAGCACTGCAGGTCAGTCCTTCGCTGTTTCCAGGATGGCCCCGTAGGGCAGATCTAAGTACCTCAGATCTGGTCCCTGGGCCTTGAGTTTGGCACTCCTGGTTTAGTGACTGTTCAAAGTTATAACTTTGAAGTGTCTGGAAAAAAAAAGTTATTTATGCCTGCTTTCCACACTTACAACCGTTGCAGCATCCCCATGGTCACACAATCAAAATTTGGACACCTGGCAACTGACTCATATTTATGACGGTTGCAGTGTCCTGGGGTCAAGTGGTCACCTTTTGCGACCTCCCGACAAGCAAAGTCAATGGGGAAGCCAGATTCACTTTAAGAACTGGGTTACTTACTGCAGTGATTCATTTAACAACTGTGGCAAGAAAGGTCGTAAAATGAGGCAAAACTCACTTGATTGTCTCCCTTTGCAATTGAGCAATGGGCTCAATTGTGGTTATAAGTCAAGACTATCTGTACTGGTAGTCCTCAACTTATGATGACAATTGAGCCCAAAATTTATGTTGTTAAGTGAAAAAATTATTAAGTGAATTTGTCCCATTTTACGACTTTTCTTGCCACATTTGTTCAGTGAATCACTGCAGTTGTTAAATTAGTAACATGGTCGTTAAATGAATCTGGGTTCTCCATCGATTTTGTCAGGTCACAAATTGACCCCTGAACACCGCAATCGTCATAAATATGAGTCAGTTGTCAAGCATCAGAATGTAAATCTCGTGACCACTGGGATGCTGCAGTGGTTATAAGTGTGAAAAATGGTCATAAATCACTATTTTCAGTGCTGCTGGAACTTCGAACGGTCACTAGATGTACTATTGTGAGTCATGGACTACCTGTAATCAAATTAAACCATGCATGCCATAGTGGCACGACAAAACCGTGCTCGACTAAAGCGCGCCCGATTAAACCGCGTCGCTGACGTCATCAACAGGGCGACAACAGCGAGCGCGGAGAAAGAAGGGCGCTTTAAATAGCACTTTAAAAGCAAGCCGATTCAAGTTAAGGTAAGGGTTAGGTTTAGGTTTAGGGTTAGGTTAAGGGTTAGGTTAAGGGTTAGGGTTAGGGTTAGGTTAAGGGTTAGGGTTAGTTTTAGGGTTAGTTTTAGGGTTAGGTTAAGGGTTAGGATTAGGGTTAGGGTTAGGGTTAGGTTTAGGGTTAGGTTTAGGGTTAGATTTAGGGGGGTTAGGTTAGGGTTAGGGTTAGGGTTAGGTTAAGGGTTAGGGTTAGGTTTAGGGTTAGGTTAAGGGTTAGGTTTAGGGTTAGGTTTAGGGTTAGGTTTAGGGTTAGATTTAGGGGGGTTAGGTTAGGGTTAGGGTTAGGGTTAGGTTAAGGGTTAGGGTTAGGTTTAGGGTTAGGTTTAGGGTTAGGTTAAGGGTTAGGTTTAGGGTTAGGTTTAGGGTTAGGTTAAGGG